GTATGATCTCTCCGGAAAAATCATGATACAGAGAAATTTCTTGTCCGAGATAGGTGAATGTCTGCACTTGGTCTAGCTGAACATTCCTATAGAAGATCGTTGCCGTTGTTCTTGCCATTATCTTTATTTTGCAGAATTTATTTTTAGCCCACAACATCTAGAGTTTTTGTCGAGGTCATCTATCATTGTTTGTAATTCTTCCTCGGACTTCGCAATAAGGACGACATCATCAGCGAATCGAAGGTTGTTCACTTGGGTTCCGTTGATTGTCAGTCCATAGGTGGACCATTCCAGTTTTCGGAATATATGCTCGAGAGTAGCAATGAATAATTTTGGTGAAATAGTATCTCCTTGGCGAACTCCGCGATTTATCTGTATGGGTATATGTTCCTCACAAAATCGGACTTTTGATTTGTGGTATACAGAGGGGGGGGGGGGGGCAAAAAAAGTCATTTTGCCTCCATGACTTTCAAGGCGCTATAAGTTACACTTTATTAAATTTTTATCGGACATTTTTACTACCATATTAAAGAGCACATTAAATACTATAATGATACTCCGCCACAGCCTTCTGGAGGAGCGCCATCGAGAGATTCGGCCGCGCGAAAGTGAGTGGGTACCGGAGTTGAGCGAGATCGTTGATTTCTCCGCCACTGTAGACCACCCTGTTGAGCTCCGCCCGAACCGAGTAATTGAGGGGGTTTAGTTCAGGACCCCCGCTTAAATACTCCATCTTTTCCAGGTACTCAACGTTCTTCCATTCCAAGTAGGCGAAAGTTTTTCCAACGCCCTTCGATTAAATGTGTTGTCACCCAATCCTGTAGCAGTACAAAGTTTCCAAGAAGGTACGGGCGACGACATGAAGATGGGATATTCTCCTCGAGTTGCTCGATGTAGCCACCAGCGCACACCTCAGTCCGGAGCCCACGCGAAGGTGCCCTCAGTGCTGGGCCCACGAAGAAATATCCGGTTCATTCCATTCCAGTACGGCCAGTCACACGCATGCATCAACCCTGCGCCTTGGTGAATGGGGTGAAGATGATGTCCTGGACCGTAGCGACGTTGCCGGAGCTGCTCGATGTTTGAGGTCTTGCAGATCAAGAGTACTGGTCTCCAGGTAGCTATCCATGGGTGATTCCATTCAAGAAGTTCCGCAGCTGTTTGGAGGCCACGTGAATTCCAAAGGCGTTCTCCACTCAGGCCGCCGACTGGAGATGACTTGCCATATTTTGGTGTACATGAAGGTGAATGGCGGCTCCTGCTTATAGAGGAAGATCTTGGGTATCTTCCGCCCTGGTACTCATATGCACTTCCTCTGTCTGACTGGCGAAACTTGGGCGCATGCAAATACTGTGACTCGGCCGGAATGACTTTTTTTTTTCGCCACCCCTGTATATATGGCGAAGAAGGGAAATTATCTGGGTGTGAACTCCTTGTTATTGCAAAGCCAAGGGCATTCATTTTAACTGTATCGAAAAGCCTTGCTCGAGTATATCTAGCAAATGGCATATGTAAGATCTTCCAAGTGATATCGGCGTGGCTCTTCTACATAATCTCATTGATAGTGTGAGTATGGTCTGTCGTGGAGAAACGTTTTCGAAAACCGGCCTATTCGCTAGGTTGTTCGCTATCTAAAAGCTTTTCTAAGCGTTCGTTGATCACCTTTGTTAACAACTTATACAGGACAGGCAGCAATGAAATGGGACGGGTAGTTATTAGAGTGCTACTCTGGGGTCGCGGCATTTTTTTATAGGTCCCATTTTTATGGAGTAGGATAGTTATAGAGTCTGCCATTCCCTCTGGGACGGAACCGGTGCGGAGGCATTCATTGAAAAGCTCAGTAATTAGTGGTATAAGATTAGCTGCACCCCAATGCAACATTTCCGTCGTAAATCGTATCCTGGACTTTTCCTGGCATTTGTGTTTTTCAAAGCTGCTTCTATCTCGCTCTCCGGAGGCTTGGTGCACAATTTCAATCATGCGGGATCTTTCTTCCACTGTGTGTAGGGCATCATGCTTTGCGATGTGTATAGCTGGTCATAATACTCCCTTATAACTTCTTTGATTTCGTTCCTCGACACACATAGTTTCCCCTTTCCTGTCGCGCAGCTGAATCGGTTGTCGTCGACCAAGTGACATTTGGCTTTGCACCATTTTCAAGCTTCCACTAGTAATCGCTTTCTGAACAAGATCACGATGATGTAAACGAATATCGTTTCTTATCATCCTTCTCAGCAGTTTGCAAGTTTCGATGTATTGCTCGCGTGCGGTTAGTATTCATATCTCTCTTCAGTTGCTGTCGCTTTCTCATTAGTGATAAGGTGTCAGTGGAAAGGTAGTGGCGAGCTTGGGTACGCCTTCTAGCCACAGACGCCGCGTTCCTGATACACCTGCATATTTCTCGATTTCGATGGATCTTGAACGGTTCGAGGACGAATTCTGGCCAGTTCCATCTGGTAAGCGTCTCGGTCTAGATAAGACTTTGAACGTGTTCTCTTTCTCATTCTGGTAGTGCAGCTGTGTATCTCTAAAAATTCCTCGTAGAAGCCGAAGGGAGAGATCAAGTTTTCAGAGAGATATGTATCGACTGTCCTGATACGTTGAATGACGAAGGTGACGCGTTGCAAATATATGGTCGATACAGCTGGAAAGTCCTTCAGGCATTCGAAGTATGCTCCCAAGGTCCAGCTTTCGTTCATTCCTGGTACTAAATTCGCAATGCAATCCGTACATGCCAGAAAGGCGAGAGCATTCTGTCGTTTTCTCTTAAAAAGCATCCACGAAAGGAAGAAGGCGGCAACTCACGAAAAAACCGGATACAGATGGTCCTTGTGTGTCTTCAGGCCCAGCATGGAAGAATTTATAATCTGAGTCTCGAGATCTACACTCTCTGTTCCTTTCCATCGTAGCTCCGTAACTGTGAGGATGTCCAAAAAATGTTCTTCTGAGTCCTTCTTGAAGTTCGACGAATCGCTCTCTCTTTGAAAGTCTTCTAACGGCGAAGTGAAGTGGAATTGAATAGAGGGTGGAACATACTTGACCCGGCCGTTCCAGTGCTTCCTGGGCCAAGGAGTATCTTCTATGCTGACGAGGCGAGTCGAAGAAGACGTCGGTTCGGAGAGAGTGGAGTGAACCGACCGCTCACCGTCCGGTATCGAAGAAGACTCAGGTAACTTGATAGTGAAGAAAAAAGCAGAAAAAAAAACGTCGAGAACGTTCTGTATGAGACCGTCCTTGCCTCTAGGCATTAAAGAGCATAGATGAGATCCACCGTGTGTTGGAAAGACAAGCAGAGAGTGGTACGGTGAGAGAATATACAAATGATCGAGACACTACCGCAAACACCAGTACAACCAAATGAAGGTGGATCCGCTCGTGGAGGCGGAGCCATGCCACGGTCGCTAAGCCGTTGCGCTCCTATCTGGCGCTTTGAATGAGTGAAATCGGTACATCTTCTGCGGTTGCAAACAGTGCAATGTTGTACAAAGAAAGGCTTGTGCCCACTGATCAATCGCGGACGCTGTTTTTAACGCTGAGTATTCCAGACAAAAACAAAAAAAACTATTATCAAGCAAAGACCACTGAAGTGGCTCATTCATGTTCATTCTACTTATGTGGCGAATTTTCTCCTTTGATAATAAATACATATGTGCGGGCCAGCTAGGCCCTTCTGATGAAATGCCTTACGATCCCTATTCAATTACCTTCACGGATTGGCTTTACAGCTGACATTGTACGAGAAAAAGGATTGCTTAGGCTCACCCTACTATCCTGCTGCAATGTGCACATACGACACATCTAATGTTATAGTCCTTTCCCTCACTCGGAGGGTTTCCTCCAAAATGAAGCAGTAACCGTAAGTTAAAGGTGGAGGAGGGTGGGAACTCCATCTCAATGGAATCAGCTGTCCCACGGAAACCGAAAACTTCCGCTGAACGAAACATGCCCTCATAAATGCACGCTTGATAAAGGGCCCAAACAAACTGATAATTAGCTCTCACACACGC